CAAGTTGCCTTCTAATCTTCTCACTGATAAAATGATTTAAGTTCTTGGGTTGGGCTATGTAAGAAGTCTTTCCTGCAGTTGTTTGAGGGGGAGGTACATTCGTACCCTTTGGATCTTGTCACTAGGCGGGGTTTTTTGATCTTCTCTGTTGTAGGTGGAGAACCCTGTACAAAGAGCTCTGCTTTTAAATCGGGCACTAAATGATGTTTGTTCCTGAAGCTACAGAAACATCCCAGGGGCTCCCAGCCAGTTGTGCCTCATGCTAGGTGCTGGCAGTTGACACGCTCCATCTGTCTGATCTCTGTGAGTCAGGGGCTGTCTTGGCTTCACCAGGAGCTGCCATTGCAGCCTACGTTTGCAAGTAGAAGCCTGTAACTGAGATGTTGCTCCAGCAGTTCCGATGCTCCAGGAGCACAGTGAAAAAGGAGAAATGCACCTTTATGAGTAGAAAACATTGTGGTAATAAACTTTATTTAGCTTCTGCAGGGACTGACTCCCTGTGGTTGGCTTTCTGCTCCCTGGAGGCAGAGGATAGAGGAGGCAGTTGTATATTCTAAGTGCAGGATGTAACCTGCTGCTTTTGAACGCTGTGTGTTAAATATTTTGCATCCCATTACTGAACTTGCATTTTTGAGCCATTTTTATGAAGCCTAATATTAGGGTGTAAAACATCCCTGTGGCTTACATGAATCATCTCTTCCTTAGAGGGGAAGTAAGAATGAAGGTAATGAGCCTGGCTTGTTCTGAAGACAGCTGTTGTTCAAACAAAGAATGATTTGCATTCCTCTACTGTGTGTTACAGATACACTAAACATATTCTGAAAGTTTTCTAGGTGTCTGTTGTGGGATGTTTTGAGCAGAACCCCTCAGTCACTCACTATAACAGGGACAGCCACTCCAGCAGCTTTCTTGGTAGGTGCAGGAACATTGGTGTCCTGATGGAGGATCTCCAACAGCAGAACTGGCTGGGACAAGTGGACTGTCCTCTCCCCATGGGTCCTCTAGCCTGTGTTGTCACCCACAGACTGTAGTAGACTAATTAGTAGACTAATTTATTTTTTGTAGCTCTTTTCTCCAAAGCACTGGTAAAGAAGAAGTAAATTATTTTCAAATTATTTTTTTAAATTCCCTTGTATTTCCAAAGTTGCTGCTTATTTTTGAGGTTGTACTGCTGTACTATTTCAATTTGGTTAGTGCCTAAAATAGCAAAATGAAAAAGTCAATGTTTAAACATCAGCTATAGTGAAATCAGAAAAAAAAAGTGAGATTAAAGCTGTTGAAGATGTTTTGCTAACATGAATAACTCTTGTCTTCAGTCACATTCTCTTCTGTAGTAGCTGTTCTTAGAAATGGGATGTTGTGATCCCATGGAAATAGGAAAGTTCCTTACTGTGAGTATACAAAACCATTTTTGGTGACAGAATGCTTGAAAAAATAATTGACATCTGTATTTGTTCCTGAATAGTTTAGTATCTGAATGTTCACTCCTATTTGACGACTGCAGTTAAAGCAGTCCTAGTTGGTAGCTTGGATATTTACAGAAAAGCATCCTTTTTTTTTTTTTTTCTTTTCTGCTTGTGGATGCTATCCCAATTCCTGTTGTTTAATAGTTGCACTTCCATAGTTGTACTGAACTTTTGGGTGCAAGCTGATACTTATTCTTGGACAGTCGATACATCAAAACACGTCACATCTTCAATTTGAGACTAATGCTATAGTTTTATGGGGTCAGGAAGAAAATCTACCATGAAGGCATCTTTTTCCAGGGAACAGTGGGAGAAAGCATGGGGACCAAAGCCCAGGTAGCTGTTCACAGTTTGCATCGAACTGAAGGCAGGCTCTGTAACCTATTTCTTTGGAAACCGGTGGTGGGAAGAGTTCCTTCTTTATTCCTACTTGAAGGAGAAAATGATGTATAAAATGCCCAAAGGACAAATTATAGAAGTCAATGCAATCAACAAAAAATCCCAGCCAGCTGCATTGGCTTAGCAGCTGGTGTGTGCTTGTATTTGCTTGTGTTCAAGCAGGGGAATGAACGTGTGAATAGTTCTTTTTGGCTGGGATAGAATTATTTTCTTTAGATTGCCTGGTATGATGCTGTGTTTCAGTTCTAAGAGAAAAGCAGTGTTGATTAGTTGCCTGCTAAGCAGCGCTGTACAGAGCCAAGACCATTTGCAGTGAAGGACCAAGGAGCTGGGAGGAAAAAGAATTAAGACAGCTAACTTAAACTGGAAGAAGGGATATTCTCTACCATATGACATCATGTGGAAGGAGTTTTGTGGGGGGTGGGAGTTAATCTTGCTCTCTTGCTGCTTGGGGGCTAGCTGGGCATCAGTTGGAGGGTGGCAAACAGTTACTGTACATCACTTCTTATGTTCTTTTTGCCTAATCAAAACTATTTTCTTTTTCTCTGCTTTAGTAAGTAATTTAATTTCAACTCATGAGTTTGACTTTGTTGTTTTTCTGTTTTTTTTTTTTAATTCTCCCCACCATCCCGCTTGTAAGAGGTGAGTGTGAGCGAATAGCTAAGGTGCTGAGCCATCTGCTAGGTTAAACAATAGTTAAGACAAGAATAAAGGTTTATTTTGGTTGTTTGCTTTAACTGAGTGTTGAAAGGCTTGTGTAAATCTATTTTAATTAATAAAAGGTAGCCCCTGTGGTGCTAAGAAGGATGTAGATCAGTGGAAAAACTTGTATCAGCATGAAAAATAACCATTTTTCGAGCTTGTTGTTTGATCTCTCTGAGAAACTTTTTGAAATAATTTGGGTCAAAATGTAAGCTGGGCAAAAATGGACTGAGTGGTTCATTTTTGGGTGGAACTTTCTGCCTCTCAGCTGTATTATTTCCTGAACGAACAGGTGATGGTAGATTTAACATACTTGTGAGATGCCTATGCTTACCTGTACTTTTCAAATAAGAGGGTAAATACTTAAAGACAGGAACTGTCATTTTTGTCCTATTCACATGGCTTGTGGTGTGTCCAAGGCACTCACCTGGCATTTGTGTAGTTCTTGCAGATAGTTTCATTTCTAGATGTAGGAGTCTCCTGCCTTTGTGTGTGGGTCTGTGTAATTGGACTTCCTTTTTCTTCCAGAAAATGCTTCTTCCAACAAGTGCCAAGAGGCAGGATTGTTTTTTTTTCTTTATTTTTCTTAAATGGTATCCAGCATGGTTATGGGTACTGACATAATGTTCACTAATAGGCAGAACCATGTTTCACAGCACTGAAAGCTCTGAGTGCATCCTCCTGGTGTTCTCCGCTTACCATTCAGCTGAGCCGACAGAGTACAGCTCCGTGAAAGCCAGCAGTACTGAAACTTAATGCTGATGTAAGAATGAGGTTTCACCTTGCAGCAAATGAGCCAGGAAAGTGGCACTAATAGCTGTTAACTATAGTGCTGGGATCACAGGAACACTGACTCCTGCTCAGCCAGGAAATCCTTAATTGCGTTCAAAGAAGGAGATCTGTGTTGCTTAAGGAGAGTACCAAATCTTTCTCTTTTCTCAAAGATGTTAGGACTCAACTAACCTTAGCAGCGTATGCTTCTTTGTATCTCCCTCCTGTGAAAGTTTTAAATTGGAGATACTGTTCGTAGATGTGAGATGCAGTATATGGAGTGAAGTTAGAGTTCTCAGACCACTGATTCAGTTCTTACCATATGGTTAAAGGCTTGAAATGTTTTCTGCCGAGCTGTGAGATGTCCTAAATCCCCTTCTTCAAACGGGTTTCAAGTATCCTTTGCCACACTGTATATGTCTCTTAATTCTTCTGTGAATAAATGACTAGCTGTTGTTTGTTTTAGACATGAAGCTGTTTGGAAGTCTCTTGATTTCCATCTTCTTGTACAGTTTTCAGTGACTGGAGTGTTTGGCGCTGATGACTAAAGTTGAAGTTGACTGAGTGGAGGAGGTGATGGGGAGGCAGACTGGATAAAGCACTTTTCCCAGTTTTTATATCTGTGTGGTTTCTCTGAAAACCTGTTCGTTTGGAAGAAGCTGAACAAATCTGTTTGATAGCCAAACAGAGCAGTGGTGAGTGCTGCCTAGCTGCTATCCCCAGCCTTGTTTGCTTTTGCTATTCTTTGCTTGCGATTGCTTTGCCTTTTAGTTGTTGTTCTAGCCATGTGGTGAAAAAGAGCTCTTCTTTGGCTTCTGTTTTCAAGTCTGTTTTACTGCTCTGTCACAGTAGGTATGAAAATGGCAATCATATTTCCATTAAGAAAGCAAGTGCCAACATCTGCCTTCAGGGCATTTCCTGCCATTCTTCGGGGACTAGGAATTTGTTTACTGCTTTTTTGGAAGTAGCAATGTGGAGCTGCTGCTTGGAGGAGTCCTGGCAAACTGACACCAGGCCCTGCCTGCAAAAGATGGTAGAGAAGCACATCATGGCTGGAGCAAACCCTGGAGTGTGCAGCTGCTACCAGGCAGAGCCAGGTAGGAAGTGTGGAACGTGAGAGGTTTGCTTTTATAACCAAAGAGTGTTTTCCTGTCTTTCCTATTCAGAGTGTTCACAGCTTTGAGATGGTAGAAGTCTTATTTTTCCTTCCAACTCTCTTTACATCTTACATTCCTACAGCGAAAAATCTTTGCCTCACCAAGCCCAGCTCTTGCAGCGGAGATGGATTTGTACAAGGCTTCGGGATTAGTGCTGGAGGCTGAACTTCACATGCTTATTTGTGCTGCTGGCTTTGGTGTGGGAGCCATAACATCTCAAAACAGAGCCATCCCTTGTGAGAGAATGCACCCAGAGCCTGAACTGGTGTCTGAACATGTGGCTTTTCTAGGAGAATATTAAAGGAAAGCTGAGAGAGCTGAGGCTCTTCATTCTGAAGAGTAGGCTCCAGGGGGACCTTATAGCAGCTTCCCAGTACCTGAAGGGGGCCTAAAGGAAAGCTGGGGGGGGACTTTTTATAAGGGCAGGTAGTGACGGGATGAGGGGAAACGGTTTTAAACTGGAAGAGGGGAGATTTAGACTAGATATTGGGAAGAAATTATTTACTGTGAGGATGGTGAGACGCTGGAACAGGTTGCCCAGCAAGACTGTGGAGCCCTCCTCCCTGGAAGCATTCAAGACCAAGCTGGTAGGGGATTTGAGCAACCTGGAATAGAGGAAGATGTCCCTGCCTGTAGCAATTGAAACTAGATGATCTTAAGGGTCCTTCCAACCTAAACCATTCTAAGATTCTATGAAATGTAGATGCAGTATTCAAAGAATGTTGTTTTACAATTTGGTGTGCTCATTGCTATAGACCTTGACTTTTTTTTTTTTTTTTTTTTTTTTTTAAAGCAAAACAGAATAGACATTTTCTTCAGCATCCAGCTTGCCCAATCCTGTGTACTGGTGTGGTCTGCAATAGCAGAGCAGGCGACAGAGCCCACCCCAGCTATCCTTTCCTAGACTTGGGCTGTTGCCTTTAGCCACAGAGCTATGGTAAACTTTGGAATTATTTTGCATTTGTTGGGCTCTTAAATAATATAAGTACTGTGTAATTGCTCTGTATGTGTCATGCCTTTGCGATTATTCTTACATTGTAAAATTGTCTTCAGCTGTCAATATATACACAGATTTTTTGCACTTAGTTGTAAACCCATTTGAAGTCCAGTTCTCATGAATTATGCTTGTTTAGCTTATTTGAAACTCATATATCACTCAGCTGGGGTGATATATCATATAAGGAATATGATTTGTGGAACAACTCCAGTTCATGTTAATGTGAAAACTGGAAAATTACTAACAGTTTTATCTAGAGATGAATAATAAGTTTATTTAAATAAATGCTTATGTAATAAGATTTGACAGAATCTTTTAAAAATACATATTTCAGTGGATGATGCCAGAAAAAATACAGCAATTTCATGTTGCTTATAGCTCATATTCTTAGCGTTACTAGTGAAGGAGTTTTTGTAGGTATGGGGCTAGTAATTTGAGGGAATATGAAAGGGGATATAAAGGCAGCATTGACAGTATGTTGATTTATAGTTCAGTGTGATTGAATATAGCCTATTGCAGTGTGGAAAATGCACACTGCATTCAGCTTTTGAATGTTTGTTAGTACTTCATGGTATGACCAAAATGTTATTGCTTTGTTTTTCTAGGTAATCGTTATTACTGCCATGCAGCATTGGGAAATTGAAATGCTGCACTATTTAAGCTGTATCACTTGGATCTAGTTTGCTTACTGAAAGATGTTGCAGTGTGCCAGCACCCTCTTGTGGGCTGTGGAATAGTGTGGAATTTCGACTTGCAATGTGGAAATAGCAGAATCTCTTACAGCAGTGGCTGTGTATTGTCCCCTGCCCTAAATAACTGCTGGACTGCACACGTGTTTACACAAAACATTGCCACTTGACTGAAACTCTGTATTGCTTTGAAAATGACTGTTGTAGAAGTGTGCATCTTCACACTGATAAATTCACATGAATGCTTTTTTTGTACCTAGGAGTTCATCTGTAATAGCAAAATCATTCTGCTCCTGATTAAGCAAGAATGCGATTTAAAGTGCATGTGTGTGGAAATAAAATAGATTTTTTGCATTCTGTTACCCTGTATGTTTCTTTCCCAAAGTCTGCCTTTTGTTTCCCTTCCCAGTGCTGGTAGCTGAGGGATTTTCCAGTCTTGCAGGGGCTTCTGGAGAATGCAAGATAGTGTCTATATTATCAAGAGACTGATATTTTTCAAAAAGGATGTGTAATGCGAAATGTTGTTTATATGGGTTAGAATCAGCCACTGTAAATAAAATTTAATATTGAAATTAGAATATAAAATAAAATCACAGCTTCCTGTACCCCTGGGGTGCTTTCCTTGGCCCAAATGCTGAGCAACTTGAGTCTTTTTTTTTTTTTTTTTTTCCCCTGACCAGGAATATCCAGAATGGTGTTCCTTCTGCTCTCTTTGCTGGTGTTATAAGGGGATTTGCTCTGAGTCTGTTGTACTGCTTGTGCAGTTTGCTTATGTGCAGATTTTTACTGTTTATTCTCACAAATCAGAAATTTGTCCCTTTTAAGGTCAGGAGTTGCCATCTGTGAAAGATAAAATTGCTGTATGTTCTTTTTTTTTGCAGGTTGCAGACTCAGCATGTGTCCCTAATAGTTAAAAAGGTAAGCAGACCATACTTATAAATATATAGCATGGTGCTTTGTATTTTAATTGATGCATGCGTATCACGATAGGGAGGAGATATTTTATCTTAATGTATTGACATAGTTGTTCAATACTGAAAAAGTTGGCGCACTAAACGATTTCAAGAATAACCAATAAAAACACTTTGAAAATATAGAAAATAAAGAAATACACAAATATATCAAGTTGATGCTCATCTTACATAAAAGTTCTTACCCATTTAACCAAAAATTTGTACTCAGTCTATATTAATAAAATAAATACGTAAAGATAACATAGAATAATAGAACTATTAAGGTTTGAAAAAGACAACTGAGATCATCTAGTCCAATCATCAACCCAGCACCCATGCCCACTAAACTGTGTCCCTCAAATAAAGTACAAAAGAAAAGAGTGAACTGCATAACTGAGAACCGGTGAGTTTTTTGTTCAGCACTGCTGCTATTTTATCTTCATTCTTGCTTTTTTAAAACCCACACATCTCCAGGGAAGACATTCTCTCTGCTTTTTGCCACGCCAGGCACATTTTTGTTGCTGCAGGATCACAAGTAATAACAAATGCAGTCAGCTCGATGCTTAGCATCATGCAATGCAATGCACCGCAATGCAAAAAAAAAAATTAAAAAAAAAAAAAAATTGCTTAATTGCAGCAAAATCCATTTATCCTATGTCTGAACACCCAACAGCTGTGAAGCCCTGGTTCCTGTGCCTGGCCAAGAGATGATGTAGTACTGTATGTGGCTCTAGAAAAATCATAGACTCACGGAGGTTGGAAGGGAGATCTGGGGATCACCAAGTCGAACCCCCTGCTGAAGCAGGTTCCCTAAAGTAGGTTGTATGTAAGACTTGAGATTTTTTTTTTGAGTGTTTGAGCTTAATCACTGAGCGTAATGGGGAAGGAGGAAATTAGTTCAGTTTCTAAGTCTCTTTCCTGAAGCCAACTATTGCCCTATCTGACTGACTTCTTTAATAGTTTCAGTGTATTTGGGACTTTCTAAACCTGCTTTAAAAGCATTTCAGATTTATTTTCCAATTAACTATTGGGTTAATTCAGCAGCTGCAACTATAATCTTTTAAATTATGACAAAATTATGAATGCTACTTAATCAGAAGTCTAGATTGCTCAGTTCTATTCTCTGAATGACTATAACTTTTTCAGAGGAAACACGTCTTCAGTATGTTTCTGACAATCATGGATATTTAAGGAATCCTTCAGAAATAATGTATGTTAAAAATTAAAAAATTAGCCCTTGTAGAAGGCTCTTAAGAAGGATGGTGGATGGTAGCTAAAACAAAACTTCTTAATAAATATATGTTCAGAAATAGTTTACTGTAAAACAATTCTGCATCATAAGCTTTATCTTATTTTGAGCTGGGCTACAGGCTTTCTTAGTCAAGGGAACATTAAATGTAAAACCAGTTATTTGCATAGAGTAACAGTAGAGGGTGCTGTTAGAGCAGATTTGATCACCAGAGGTGCAAGCTCTGAGGTATATCAGAGCTGCTTGGAATGTCCAATGTGCAGGCAGCAGCATTGTGTTGGATGAGTTTGCTGTACAGAGCAAATGTTCAGACTATCATTAGCCTACAGCAAATTCTGTTACTGCTAGTTTATATTTATTCTCGCTGCAGTACTGAACTGAAAGAAAGTAGCAGTATCTAAAGGGGAGCTACAGAAATGAAGGGGGCAGACTTTTCAGTAGGGTCTGTGGTGATGGAACAAGGGAAAATGGCTTCAAGCTCAGGGAGGCTAGACTGAGGTTAGATATAAGGAAAAAATCTTCTACAGTGAGGATGGTGAGGCACTGGAACAGGTTGCTCAGTGTTGTGGTTGATGCCCCATCCCTGGAGACTTCCAAGGCAAGGCTAGATCAGGCCCTGGGCACCCTGATCTAGCTGTGGTGTCCCTGTGCATTGCAGGGGAGTTGGACTGGATGGTCCTCCCTCAGAGGTCCCTTTCAACTCTAAGGATCCTATGATTCTTCTATGATGCTAAAACAGAGCAAGGCAATGCGCCTAACCATTACTACAGAAGGTTAGCAGTAGTGATTAAGAAAGATTCATTACCCTAATACTTTACCATCATCCAGCTCCACAGTTGCTGGGCAGCCCTGGCCACAGCAAAGTTTTGGAGAGCCTTTCTTGGCAACTGGGAGGTCCTACACAGTGTGTATAGTCATAGGTGAGGTTTCCAACTGTGCTGCAAGCAGGTCCAGTTTTTGTATTGTTGAATAAATGAGTTTACATGACAGGCAGAAATGTCCAGTTTAATTCTCCCTTTTTTGGATTCCACCTCAAGTCTGGCCAGGGTTCAAGGAGGAACCAAGGAAGTTTGTGTACTTGTTGGCCTTGACACTGTGCTTCTAAGCAAGGAAAGGTTAATACACTTTCATAGTGCTTTATCTAAGCTACTTATCTCTTGCTGGTGAGATATTTTGTCCAAGATGCATACTTTGCTAATGGTCAAACGTATTTTGCTAATGATTGAATACTGATAATATATAATGCTGATAATATATAATACTGATAATATATAACATTTCTCACATAAGTATTCAGGCCTTAGTAATTCAAAAGGATACGAATGCCTTGACTGCCTGATACCTCTAAGCATTTTATTTTCTGGGAGTATTTTATTTTACTGTTTTGTACACACCAAAATAAATTATTCTAGAAAGATTCTTTACTCAGAAGGAAACTGTATCATTCAACAACATTCCCAGTCCTTGCTCTAATGATTAGCTTACTTATGTATTCATTATACTCCTATGCTTAAAAAGCATCACCTTCTTTGGTTTCAATTAATAGTTAAAGAAGTTACCCTCCTTAATATCTTTATTGATGATCTGAATGAGGGAATTGAGTGCACCCTCAGTAAGGCTGCAGATGACACCAGGCTGGGAGGAAGTATTGATCTGCCTGAGGGCAGATTAATTTGTTTCCAAGCTGAATTTAAGACTGCGTGCAACATGCTTGCAACAGTTTGGAGATGATAGAATTTAATTCTTATTCCAAAATAGCTGGTTCATGAGTCGATTTGTCATTAAATATGCACAGCCATGATAAAACAAAGCACCTAGGCTTTCACAGTCATTTTAAACATTATTTTCTTTTGCCTGAAAAAAAAAAAAAGAAAAAAAAAAAGGACTTTGTTGAATATCACCTCAGTTTAAGGAGGAATAGCAGCTCTAGATTTAACCAAAATAAACCAAACAAATGTATATCAGTATGGTGCTGGGTAAACAAGTGCATTGTCAGTGTCTTGACTGCTTGAATTACCTGTGTGTTAACCTGCAGAATGGATTTGACATTAATTTTATGTTGAGACACATTGCTGGCTCCCCATGGGAAGAGCATTGCCTCATTTAATTCATGAAAATTGTCATCCTTAAAAAAAAACAACAAAAAAACCTCAACAACAATAAACAAAACCCACCACCACTAGCTGGTAGTGAGATAAAATATTCTATATGCTCTTTCAGATTAAAAAAAAATGCTGTAGTTTGTGAGAAACAATCAGAGTCAAAAATGTCAGGTTAGGCAAAGATCTTAGTGATAGCAGCAAAGTTTATCATTATTGCAATCATGGACGCACGCTCCCTATCAGCAAGGGAGAAATTACTCACTGCTCAGCGAAATTCATTCTGGTACCCTAAAGCCAACGCTCTCCTGGCACTCACTCACTGGCTGAGTGTCTCAGCTCACAATCTCCCCGACTCTGTTGCTATGATACATTTCCATGTAAGGTCCATTACCAACCTGTTGTTTTTTGGTATGTTTTGTATTTTCCCATGGAGATAGGAGGGCAATATTTCCAAGAGCGAGCATGTCCCGTGCTGGGCTCTCTCTCCACCCTGCATATTTGCCTTATCTTATGCCTGACTCAGTTCTACTCCAGTCAGAATGCCCCAAAGCTTTAACTTTTTACTCTGTTCAGAAATTTTCTTAGTGGAAGAAAAACAGCTATTTCACGAGGGTTATAAGTTCAGTAAAGGCCTTTAGTATATACAGAAAAGAAAATACTGGGAGCTTCTACTGCAAAAATACAACCTACCTCTCACATTTCCCCTTCTTTTTCTTTTTACCCTCTTTTGTTTTTGCACAAACTACTGAACACTTCAATATAGGAGAGCTATCTTTCTAGCCTAGCTTGCTAATTGACTGCAATAATGTATTAGAACTAATCATCTTGCTATTTTCCAAACTCTAATATGTAAGAGTACTAGTAAGAGTAAGCAGATCACGCATAAAATCAAAATAACCACAGCAGGATGCAATATCTTAATGCATAGCCCCGTTGCAGCGGGTGACCATTCAAAAAGAACATCCCACCATTGTTGTTTTCCATCTCTCTTTGCCCATTCCATTATTCAATGCATTTCCTTCACATCGTGGTCTACTGTGATCAGAGTTCTTTGTCCATTCTCTTTGGATTGCTTCTGTAACTGTTTCAGGTCACCACGTTGTAACAACTTCTTCACCATTGTAATATTCATTCCAATATGAACTGGTAGTAAACCTTGCGTAATCAGATTGTAATAGCTGATATGAGGTGACAGGTACAGTAGGTGTAAAATCACACTCTGTTATTTTGGTGAAGTTGCAAATACAAGGATTAGCACGAGTTCTAGTATCTACGGTATCAATATTAAACACAATAAAATTGCAATGCGTCCTCATACAAACACAGCCTTCTCCCATATAGATCAATACAGTTTTAGGTTTTTCGTTAGGATGGATTTCAAAATGACATACATTCTGTTCTGTATTCTGTCAAGACAGATATCCTGGCCCCTGATGGTATTGCTTCCACAAATAAATCCTTGTTGAGTTCTTACTGTACGGGCGCTGACATCAACCGTCTGCCAGTTCTCAGCTTCAAGATAGGCCCATTCTCAGTGTTCAGTAGGGTAAAGAACAGGCTCATCGTGATTTATACCTAAGGCATTTATGGGATATATAGTGTACACTGTTCTTTGGGCTGTGGTCATCACTAATGCCGTGACAGAATCTTGTATCAGGTCATAGGTGAAATTAGCCAAATTCCACCAAGACTGGAACCACACAATCACATACTGGAAAAACATAATCTACCTCTCACAAGTTCATCATTCAGAAAACAAATTCTTGCAAACTTTTTTGAAATTGCAGTTCTGCAACATATATCTCAGCTTACGGAAGTAGCCTTGGACAGCCCACATCAAAAGTAGTGCCCAGACCTCTGCTTTTCAAGGAGATCTAATGCTTTACCTTGTATGTTGGTTATATTAAAGCTTAAATATCCCACTTCCTGTTTTTCAGACAGAAGCAGTCTCTGCCAGCCAAAAAAACCATCAGAAGTATTTCACGATGGATGTAGATGATGAAGAAAACATGAGTAAGATGTGTTTGTTTACTCTACTGAATTATGCAGTCGTTTCAAAGGTGTCTTTTTCTCATAAGTCACAGAGATGACTGAAGGAACTTTGAAGCATGAATTAAAATGATTTTTGTATGTTTTTAAATATAGGATATAAGCATAATTAAGAGCTTTTGAGCAAAAAGTGTTTTTGAAGTATACATGATTATGTGCTAGTCCAGTTATAACTTATGTCTACAAAATATTTTCCTGTTTTGATAAATAGTTTGGTATACTGCATTGACACTATTTATGAGTACTGTGCATCCCAGTCTGAGTGGTGTGTAAGACCCATCCTGAGTTGCAAGTGTACTGTGTCTCAGCTGCTTTTCTGCAAATTCCTTTACCTCACAGAAGGGCTGACAATAGGGTATAAGGTTGCCCAAAGTAGACTGGGTTAGCTTGACAGCAGATTTGTGCAGAACTCTCAGGATGAGAGCCTTCCGTGCAATTCTAGCAGGCAGATCATTGTGAGACTTGATGGAAATAAAGATCATTATGACAGGAAAAAGCCAGACAATTAGAAAGGTTGAAGGCCAAGACAGTACCATGCATCAAGTGAGCATTTTTAACAGAAGACATTTCATGTAGCCAGTAGTATACAACATTTTGATGTTGGTTATTGTGATAATGAGTTCCTTGAGCTTTTTCATTTGAATAATCTGGTGTTGTGTGAGGTTTGATTGTCTGCCAATGGTGCATGTTGTGCAGTGAAAGATACCTCAGCATCCTGCCGTCAGGACATTTGTACTGAGGTCCAGAAGGCTAGTATTAGAAAAAATGTCTTATTTTTTAATCATGGGTAGCTTTTCTGTTTAATAAAACAGGATGCTGTTGTCAATGTTGTATCTATATTGATGCTGTTTCAAAGACCTGAATACACAACAGCTATGATCAACTTGAAAAGGCTGTCTAAAGTATTCAGTACTTGAGAACTTAAAGACTGAAAAATGTATAGACTTGAATATAGATACACATATAGAATCATAGAATATCTCAAGTTGGAATGGATCCATAAAGATAGTTGAATCCAACTCATTGTTCCACGTTGGACCACCCAAAAATCAGACTGTATGTCTGAGAACTGTCCATATGCTTCTTGAATTTCAGCATGCATGTACATATATAAAGTATAGCACTAGTTTCTTTTATAAATCTTGGGTTTTGTGTTTGTTAGATGTACCAAGACTGTATATGTAATCTTGTTGTCAACTGCAAAAAATTGGAAAAAAAAAAAAAAAAAGAAAAACATCTGTTACTGGATGGAGAGGTTTTCTTTTTTAATAGTTGAGATTGTAATCTTCTTTCCCATCAGCCCTCTCCTAAGTACTGTACTTGCTTGACAATGTTTTAACTTTTACAGTTCTAGTTCTCCTGCTTTGTTTTAGCTGTGATACTGGCAGCACACCGAATCAGACACAAGAAATGAGCTGAGCTGTGTTTTAGACAGCATGTGGAGTGATGGTCAGTGCCTTTGTACTCTGCTATAGAGCAGCAAAATTTTGTTTTGAGTACTGCTGCTCCTAGCTTGAGCTGTGATGGGATCCTGAGCCAGACAGAGATTTCAGGGTTTCTCATTCCCTTCAAAGTGTGTGGGAGACATCTCAGAGTCTGATGGTCTCTAAAACAAACTGTTAACAGAACAAAACACTGCAAAATACAGCAAAAAGGTAAATCTACAGTGTGTCCTGCTCCTTAACACCCAATGGATGTCTGCTCAAAAAGTGGTGGATGGGGTTGACAAGGTTGAAACACCTGATATGCTCCTGATTATGCATATATATATTATTATTATTAGAACCATAACATATAGAAATCAACAAATTAAAAATGACATAGTAAGTGAGATTAGCGGATGGGGATTCAAAGCAAGCAGTGGGATATGTTTTCATTCAGTGTATAATGAAACTCAGAAGTGATACCAAGAGTATGTATGGTCTTGAAAAGCAATTAGAAAAAATGGGGGAAAAAAGACATCTGCAGCTCCCCATCATGCCCCCTCAGGACACTTCAAGAGCTGTAGCACCCTAAAGGCTTGGAAATTTCTCTGAGGATGTGCCATGAGGGTCTTGGTTCTGGTTTTACCCTTCTTTTGGGGTCTGCTATTGGCCCTGCAGGCAATCAGTTGGCTGCTATATGAGGTAGTAAGCCCATTTGAAGTCCTTCACCAGGATAAGGCTTTGCTATAGAGACCTGGTGGAGTGAGAGCCCTTTCTGAACAGCAGGGAGGAGCTGGAATGAAGGAAGTTCAGAATGTCTGAATACGGGAAAGATTATGAAAGATGACTTCTCTGACTTTAGCAGGTGGTCTTAGCTAATACTACTTTTTGACTAACCTGTCAGTTCTTTTTCAGCCCAGAGGTAATTAGGGGAACTCACAGCTGCTGAGCAGGACAGACTAAAGGAAAGTTCTGAAAGGAAATCTTCACCCTTATCCTGGAAAACAGATGTTCTTTCTTCCAGTTCAATATTTAATGGGCTGAAACAAACCAGAGCCCTCTGGTTTACAGAGAAAGACTTTTTCTTTCCACCATGTGCAGGGTTTTGATTTGTATCATCTTAATGATGTGAAAATTTGCCTATTTCCATAGTGTCTGGGGCTTGACACTGGTTGCTTGCTCCCTACTTGCTCTCTCTCCTAGTTTCTTCCACCCTACAGATTCTCTAAAGTTAATATGCCTAGTAACTTGCAGGCAAGAAGTAGTTTTCTTCCCTTCTTTTTCTTTTCTAAACCAAGGTAAGCATACGAGTTTCTTTCCTGCTCCCTGCAAGTCCTCCCTCTTTAACAGGACATGATTTCCAGTACTTGTGTAATGAAATTGACTAAATAGGTCCTCCAGCTGTTGAACTTGGAAATAAAACTTCTCTTCTTGAGTTTGCAGTCTGTTCAGCTCATATTTTCCTTATGTGGCTTCCACAGACACTGGTTATAAAGAGGAAAATGCAAACGGAAGCTGTTTTTTGGCTTTAACTGAAGAAATCTGTTTAGCTGAAACATTACGTTCTGCAGGAAATTTATGTTGCTTCTAGTAAGAACAATGTTTGAAAAGCACTGTTTTAGATAATTTTACATAACTTTTGAAGGTTACAACTTCAGGTGAAAAATCAATGTAAGAAAGTTTTTAAAAATTTGTTCTTTTTTCTTTAAATTCTTTCACTGTAGTAAGGTAAGGAGTGATAAGCATGAACACTGTATTGACTGTTGTGTCTCCACACAACATGTTCTGCAGAGAGTATCATTTGTGGCTGAATGTTACAAGAGATTATTAAATTTAGCAGATTTCTAGCTATGAAATACTCCCGAATGTTTCATGTTTCTGTACAGTATTTGACTGGAATTCAGTGTTAAATACAGTGCAATTCCTTGTTACGCTACTGAAATTTAACAAAAGATGTTCTACTTTAGGGTTTGGTTTTTTTTTTTTGATCTTTATTTTTTCTTTTTTTTTCTCTTCGAGCACCGAAAGGAGTAACCTATCGAGCTTTTGCTGGAGGATGTTATAAATGAAAATTTAGTAACTATTCCATCAGCTTTGTAAACTGGGCGAAGTGATGTGTGCAGGGTAGTGAATACTTAAGAAAGCATGATCGAAATTTGTTGAGAAGAGATCTTCCATCTTCATTTGCTCTAATTTCAATAAACATTAATTAATTAATTAATTAATTAATATTAATTAATTAATATCAATGTGAATTTAATATAGTACTAGATATTCTGAAGTCTTGAAACAGAAGAGTTAGAAACACTTGACCAAATAAATTTGCCTTTTCATTCATGAATGTTGCTATAAAGCACAAATAAGTCATTTCATTCTTTTTTTTAATCAGAGTAAAAATGAGATCTTTCCAGTTATAGCAAGTATAATTCTTGAAATATATATCCAACGTTATCATTGCCCCAATTTTCTACTTAGAAAATAAATCATTGAATTAATCATTAATTAATAACTGCAATACCACGTTTTTTTCTTCCCCATTAAAATATCATCATTGTGATTATGTAGATTTTGTCACACATTTTGTGTTCTCCGTAGTCTGAAGAGACAATCCTCATTATTTGTTTTAAAATTTGAAAGAGAAGTTTTTTACTTTGCAAGAAATTTAAAGACTGCATATATATGGCAAATAAAATGTTTCTCAATCAAAGACTATGTGAAAACATATGTATTGTAGTTTTCTGGTGCAGTCTAAGTTAGACGCAGGATTTTTTTACAGCAGTGTTCAGTGTATGCTGCTAAAGGGTCAGAGTTGCTGTGAGCTGTGAGCTTTGCTCTATGCTACCCTCTGTTGAATGAGCCTATTGCTGAAGCTGCTGTGTATTGGGCAGGCAGTCATCCCGGGGCAGATGAAGCTTGTGAGCAAATTGAGTTGAGGTGAAATGAAGACTGGGAAGAGCATAAAAAAGAATTGAATTTGGAGAATATGGTATAGCTACAGAGAAGCAAAGCATACAGTTTTCAGTCAAGGTGCCTAACTAACAAAGAACTGCTCGGTTTTTCATGACTCAGATTTTATTTATGTTATTTCTTGAATTGAGCAAATAAAATCATGTGAGACAGAAATGCAATGTGAATAAAATAAGAATAAAGTATAATTAAATATAAATCTCCTAGTATTGGTCTGAAGTATCCATTTTTACTTAACTGTTGATAGTTTATCCTACAAATAATACAGTGTTTTTCTGTTTTAAAGCATTTTTCACTTCAAGCATAATTTATGAGTAAAAATTTTGTTTCAGCATCAGTTTGTTGAAAAAAAAAAAGCTTCGGTGTTTTATTGTCATATGAAAGTATCAAGAGCAAGTTTGAAAGTCTTAAATGTGTTAATTGCTGAGTTATTAAGAGGCATTGCTCTCCATTAACACTGCAAAAGCTTTTATCTGTGAGCACACATCACTTAACCAATTACAAAGAGAGATAAAGGAATCTATAAATTTTGCATTTACAAGATCCTGCAACAAAGGCATTGTAAGTTACTCTTTCTGGGCACCGCAGGTTCAAGCAGCACTGATGTTAAAGAAAACCGCAACATGGACAACGTTCCCCCCAAGGATGGCAGTGCACAAGGCACCGGGGAGGGGGCTCAGCTCTCCAATGGTGGCAGCAGCAGCAGCAGCAGCAGCAGAAAGCGGCCTTTGGAGGAAGGCAACAATGGCCACTCCAAATTTCGCCCTAAGAAGAGGAAGAAAACACCAGGTCCCGTTTTGCCAAAGAATGCCTTGATGCAACTTAACGAGATCAAACCTGGTTTACAGTATAAGCTGCTGTCCCAGACAGGGCCAGTTCATGCCCCAATGTTTGTGATGGCTGTTGAGGTTAACGGACAGGTGTTTGAGGGCTCCGGCCCCACAAAGAAGAAAGCCAAGCTCCACGCTGCTGAGAAGGCTCTGCGGTCATTTGTCCAGTTCCCAAATGCATCAGAAGCACACCTGGCCATGGGGAGGACTCTCTCTGTCAACACAGACTTCACCTCTGACCAGGCAGACTTTCCTGACACGCTTTTCAATGGATTTGAAACACCGGTTCCTTCTGATGCTTCCTTTTACCTGGGGTCCAATGGGGATGGCTCCTTTGGCTCCAGCAGGGAGTATGGTCTGTCATCGGCTGCTGTGGCAAGTAGCCTTAATCAGTTGCCTCTCCCTGCATCGTTGCCATACCCGACCGCGAGTGGGAAGAATCCTGTGATGATCTTGAACGAGCTGCGGCCAGGCCTGAAGTATGAGTTTCTCTCAGAGAGCGGGGAGAGCCATGCCAAAAATTTCGTCATGGCTGTCGCTGTGGATGGGCAAACATTTGAAGGATCGGGAAGGAATAAAAAGCTTGCGAAAGCTCGGGCTGCTCAGTCAGCCCTAGCATCCTTGTTTAACATGCAGCTGGACCAGACTCCATCTCGACAGCCCATTCCTAGTGAGGGGCTCCAGTTACATTTGCCACAGGTGAGAAACCCTTTAATGTTTGTCAGCATGTTGAGATAATTCCAAAAATAGCCAAGATGAATTGTTTTGAATCAGCTTCAGCATTTCTACTTATTCTGCTTGTATGGATGTGAGTGTGTATGTGTGTATGTTTGTGTGGGCATACACGTATTTGTAAATATGCACACTACATTAGTTGATTGATCCATTTGTGGCTTCTGACAATTGTGTGCAACATTCCTATTCTTTTGGATGGAGATAAGTTTTTGTTGCTAATGCTTTCAGCCTTTCTCATCATGTAATAGGGCACAAAGCACAGCTTGGCATCAGTTTACATTGCTGTTTGCACTGAGCAAAGATTGAGCCATGGTTTACTTGCTTCAGGCAGCTGGTGGAGTTTGAGTCAGGATTAATGCTTCAGGTGGTATTGCTTTCTGACACAATCATTTTTACCAGAGCAGAAAATAATTATCTTCTGCAAAGAGAAATTGTTGATGTTAGCAGAGCTGAATCATAGAAGTCAAGAACAGGTCAGATGAGGCTGATGAAGCCGTCATTCATTTCCAGGGTCAGAATAAAAGGCAGACTGGCAACACTTGTATCCGTAACCTGTGGTTAAATAACTGTCATCTTAAAAATTGTGCTCTAATAAAATTAGTTAATAACTATATGCAAATTACTTAGGCAAATATATCTGGATGAGAAATAGTTTAAATCAAATAAATAATGAAGTAGGGAAGGTAACAAACATACCAGACAGAGACCAAAAAATGTAAAGAAGTTGGAATGGCATAATTCGTACATTCTTAATGAAGAAAAATTCTCACTTGTTTGCTTTTGCTTCACTCCTGTATAAGGGCAATAATAAATGTTTTAACACCCTCTTTCTACTACACTGATATGGTCTTTTTAAGGACATTATATGCCTGCCTAAATTCATATACTTTCCTGTGAATTCCTTGCAATTTTCTGTTTGTTTTAAAGATAGTTTCAAGGCCTTGACCTTTGCTATCTTTAAAATATCATTTTAAATTTCATTTAAAATATTGTATTAGTTTGATTCAACATTATTCAATAATGTCAAGTTAAAGAATATAAATAGATGTGACTATTTTAAGTGTGTTGTTTCCTGTAGTTGCATGGACAATTTGCATTTTAAGAAACTCCTAAATGCTGTCTCTCTTTTTTTTTAATAATCTTGTACAGTATTGCATTATTGATGAATGTTTCCTCCTTTCTGAAATCTGAGGTTATGCTGTTTCAGGTAGTTGTGATTTCTTTATAAAACAGAGCTTTTGTAGGTGGATTTGGCATCAGACACCAAAAATTTTCACTGCCATGAATCATTAAAATGGTTAAAATTTGATCTGCAATAGGAAAGAGAACAGAATAAGAAGTGATACGTATCAGAATTGTTCAGGGCAACTTCTGGTAAGTCCAAAGTGAGGATAAATCATTATATTCTCTCTCAGCTGACTTTTTCATTGTTCCAAGGGCTTAAAGGTGTTTTTCTGTCTGGCAGATTAATGTATAACAAATTAGTAAGGGACTTTAATGGAAGTTGGGACAATGCTAGGTACTTCTGATTTTCTTGCTCTGTGAGGTTTTTTCCTGCATTCTCAGTCCTGTGAACCACTGTTTGTTGCCTCAGAGTGCCGTGCCACAGGTGGGCTGTTGCTGTAGGTAGGTTGTGCAGGATATTCAGAAATTTTGTTGTGATCATTTGCCCTGATGGGGCATTAAAGGCCAGCACTATGGGTTCAAATAACAAGGAAAACAACACATGCAAACACTTTACAACCCCCAGCTGTCATAAACTGACCTTGATACCCATATTGTGTACACCACATCATAACTTAGGGCCAGCTTACATTTTACCTGTCTTATTGCACCCCCAAGAAGGCTGCTCCAGTATGAAACAGAGATCTGTAGTGTCTGTAGGAGTAATTTGGATTATGCAGGCTGCTAGTGCTCTCTGTCATATAGGCCCCATTCAAAGCCAGTTATTGATTTTGAGTTTTTTGGTCAGTTTATAATTAGGACATTGTTGACTTCCTACATGTCACTGTGTTTTATTATCTTTTATTTATAATTAACTGTGAAGTTATTGGAATTGCATCATGGTCTGTTACAAGTGGTCTGGTACATTATAGAGAATAATCGAGGATTTAAGCTTTTGTGATTTTTTAGGGGCTGGTGTTAGATCGTAGAATCATAGAATCATAGAATGGCCTGGGTTGCAAAGGCCCACAATGCTCATCCAGTTCCAACCCCCTGCTGTGTGCAGGTCACCAACCAGCAGCCCAGGCTGCCCAGAGCCACATCCAGCCTGGCCTTGAATGCCTGCAGGGATGGGGCATCCACAGCCTCCTTGGGCAACCTGTTCCAGTGCCTCACCACCCTCTGGGTGAAAAACTTCCTCCTAATATCTAATCTAAATCTCCCCTGTCTCAGTTTAAAACCATTCCCCCTTATCCTATCACTATCCACCCTTATAAACAGCCGTTCCCCCTCCTGTTTATATGCTCCCTTCAAATATTGGAATCCCACAATGAGATCCTACTTCACTTATGGCGTTTGTTGTTTGTTTTTTTAACAGTGATTGCTCTCCTTATTTTTTAGACTGTGGGTAGTGAGTATGCATAAGGATGTTAAATTTGGATATTGTCTTGAAGTGTATGAAGTCATAAACATTGGAGAGTACAGGAGCAATGTAAATGAGGGTGGGATTTGTAATAATTCATAGACCAAATAAAATGCTGATAATGGTGATTGTGTGGGAAAATTTGCATGTCAGTAGTTATACACCTTCTGGTAGCTCTCTGGAGGAAAGCAAAAGTGAAAATACACATGTAAGCTATCAAAGGTTAGAGAAGGTCATTATATTAGACATCAGCTTGTAAAATAGATATGGGTATCACTTTCTGGTCAGCACAGATTAATCAATGTCCTGTGATTTATAACATTTACAGCCAGTCTGTGCAAAGCAATCTTGTTTACAGTTTCATCTTTTGTGAGTGTGGTGAAAGACTGTTGGCTGCAATAAGGAAGATGTCTTTGTTCAAAAAATGACTTAAACCCGGCAAGAATTTTGTCATGTACCATGGAGCAGATGAAGGTAACCTGCTGAAAATCTGGCCTTGGGCTTTTATTACCTTTTCAGCTATTGTGTTAAAGTGGGAGAAATTGCCAGTCCTGCATGGTAGGGTTTTACCTCTCCAAAACAAATAAAATATTTTTGTGGCCAGCTAGATTTTGTAAACTGTTAGCCATCTCACTTCACCTCCCACTCTATTCGAGCAAGATATCCTGTATTGTGCCATAAGTCACAGCAAGCACTAAAGGGCCATAAAATGTGTGCTTCAGGATTTATTCTTTTCTGCGAATGACAGCTGTATATTTCAACATATTCAGGTTAATACCATTAGAACATTTAAGAGTCTGGTTTGGCATGAAATCAGACATGTTGGACCTGTGGCCCAGCACAGCTTACAGTGTGGCCTGCCTCACACTATAAGCAGCTTTAATAGGTGGCAGCTTTTCACTGTCAAGTGACACAACCTGGCCCCAGGTGTGCATTCAGCAACAACCAGACACTGGTGTGCAATTAACATTGTCTTAGCTGAAACCAGGACACAGGGAGAGCACAGTGCCAGCAGTGCCAACTGAAGTTATGGCAAATGATTGTATGCATTTTGATATATTGGCTAAACACAGTCAGTGCTTCTGTGAACAGAGAAAAATATGAGCGTTGATTTTTGCTTTGACATGGGAATTTGAGAATTGGTTTCAGGATTGCAAAAAAATAATTTATGTTTGCAACTTCATTTTCTGTCAGTATAAATACATTATGTGAAAATTTTCAGATGGAATCTATAGAGATGCAATCGTATATTCAACTAAAAAAAATTGTATGTCTCTCTAACAGACTTCCATAAGATCTCTCTTAAGAGAGAAAATATCTCTCACTTCACAGTCACACCTTATTCATGTATTGCTTTTTGGCAGTACATACATTTGTGAATAATTGACAAGGATGAAGCACAGAATGAGTAATATTTCATTAGAAATCTTTGATGGACCCCTTGATACCTCACTAAGAATTGCAGCCACTGCCACTGAACCAGACTTGTGTTAGTTTCATAAAAACAGTCAAACATCCCACTTGTTTTGTTTGTTTGTTTGTTTTGTTGCTTTCTTTTTAAAAAAGTTTCCATAAAAATATTAAGAATTAAAATGTTTTGTTACTTATGTATTAAATATATTGTATGAGGGCCGCTTTGAAAGTAATGCCTCCTGTTTTATTATGTTTGCTTATGATCATAGGATCCTTAGAGTTGAAAGGGACCTCTGAGGGCCATCCAGTCCAACTCCCCTGCAATGCACAGGGACACCACAGCTAGATCAGGGTGCCCAGGGCCTGATCTAGCCTTGCCTTGGAAGTCTCCAGGGATGGGGCATCAACCACAACACTGAGCAACCTGTTCCAGTGCCTCACCACCCTCAGCATAAGAGATTTTCTCTTTATATCTACCCATCCTGAGCTTGAAGCCATTTTCCCTTGTTCTGTCTTCTTCTGAAGAGTCTGTCCCTTTCTTTCCTGTAGCTCCCCTTTTGATACTGACAGGCCACTTAACTTAACTGGTCACTTTGCAGCCTTCTCTTCTCCAGGTTGAACAGTCCCAGCTCTCTCTGCCTGTCCTCATAAGAGAACTGGTCCATTCCATGGATCAGTTTTGTGGCCCTTCTCTGGACACACTCCACCAGGTCTGTGTCTCTCCTTTACTGAGGAATCCCTGTCTGGGCGCAGTAACCCAGGTGAGGTCTCACCAGCACAGAGCAGAGGGGCAGGATCACCTCTCATCCTGCTGGTTGCACAGCTTTTGATGCAGTCCACCACTTGTCACCACCCCTTCCAGACATTAAGCCATTGACCACCACTTTCTTGGCACGGTCTTGCAACCAGTCCTTCATGCATCGAATAGTACACCCATCAGATCTCTATCTTTCCAACTTGGAGAGAAGGATGATGTGGGGTACTATGTCAAAAGCCTTACTGAAGTCAAGATAGATGATATCAGTGGCTCTTACCAGCATCATAGAAAGCCACTAGGTTGGTCAAGCAGGATTTGCCCTTGGTGAAGCCATGCTGGTTCTTCAGTATCAACTTGGTGCCTTCCATGTGCCTTAGCATGGCTTTCAGGAGGATCAGTTCTATAATCTTCCCTGGTACAGAGATGAGACTGACAGGTTGGAAGTTCCCAGGCTCATTCTTCTTACCCGTTTAAAATTTGGGTGTGATGTTGCCCTTTTTCCAGTCACCACAGATTTTATCTGATTGCCACATCTTTTCAAATATCATTGAGAGTGGCTTTGTGGCTACATCAGCCAATTCCCCCACAACTCTGGGATGAATCACATTGGGACCCATAGATTTGTGGATGTTTGGGTTCCTCAGGTGGTTACAAACCTGATCTTCAGTGACAGTGGGAGGGATGTTGCTTCCCCAGTTCCCTGCTACCAAACCAATTGTTTAAGGGCTGTGTGGCAAGCAGTTATCAGAGTTTTCTGAGGCAAAAAAGTTAAGTACCTCAGCCTTGTTTGTTGTTACCAGGTATCAGAGTCAGATGGTGGCAGTATGACAGTGGAGGTCCAAGCTGTGAGAAGCACTCGCAAGCCAATAGCTGAGGCCCAGGCAGGAGTCTCGGTAAACAGCATTTTATTTTGCAATTGCAATGGTGGGTGTTCTGCAAGCAGAAGTGCCTGCTGTAATGAAACAATGCTCTTACATCTCCTACTTCCCGATACTGCATCCCTCCCCTACTTCCAGGGTCACATTCTCCCCTGTTTGCATATCATGTGCGCATCCTCTATGCAGGAATTTGACAAAAGTCCATCTTTCTTTGTCTCGCCAAGTAAGCAAAATCCACAAGTTAGTTGCCTCTCCAGTTTATCCTGCCACATATCTGCCAGATAAGTTTGTTTCTTCTTGTGCAGTTCTGGATACAGATGTATGTCTTAAAGATGTTACCTTTGGTTGCCCCCACCTCCTTTCCAGCAATCTTCCCAAGGAAGGAGAGTTAAAATGCCAGCCAGATTCTTCTGTTAGCTTTAAAAATGACATTCTTTCACAGACTTTTATCTCTCAAGAATACACGTTCTCCACAGACAAACACTTACCTGGTATCATGGATTCCAAAATATGTCCCTTTTGTATCACATTCTATTGCTTGTGCAAAAACAATATGTTGTCTCCCAGAATCTCCCCTTACTTTTGTTTACACAACTACTGCTTTTTGCAATTTCTATTAAGGCATGGTCCCGCAGGTGACTTCCAGCCTTCACAGTTCTCTTCTGTGCAGAGGTTGTCCTGATCACCATTTTCTACTTCTTCCCATAACATCAACATCTTTGTTGATGTGGTGGCCTTACGGACATCTGCTTAGGGTGGTTTTGATTAGCCACTGGACCAGTCCTCTAACATGGGGGATAGTTTAGTAGCCAACTGCCGTTAAAACCCCTGGTACCACAATTAAAGATATGTCTGGACTTACAACTACTACTACTCCTTTCCATTTACCAAAGGAAGACTCTAACCATCAAGTAAGTGAATTGTCTATTCCTGAATTCTCTGTCAGTTCATTGGCCAGAGTAGTTTGTCCTTGCAGTGCCCTAATTATGGTGCCATTTGGAGCAGTATTGTTGGGAATAAAAGTGCAACGCTGACCGCCTAGCATCACACAACCTCCTCCCTTTTCAGCCAACTAATGTGTCCAATGCTATCCTATTTTTTTATGCCATCCTACTAGTGGCATCTAATTGTTCTGCAATCTCTTTTATAGCATCTCTAGTATAATTTATGAACCTCTGCAGATTGTAGTAAATATAATTGATGCAATCTACATTCTTATTAATAGTTATCTACCAAAACAGTCTCTGATGTCTGAGAGAAGATACACAGGAAGGCAACCCAAATATAGTTTTGGAGGAAAACACCTCTAGTTTCAAACTGGGGAACAGTTTGGTAATTCAAAAAGCATCTCATAAGGTGAGACTCCCAAATCTTTTTGTGGAGTAGTCCTGATTCATTTTCATTTTTGACTGCAAGACATCATCTTTAGCCTTCTCAGAGCTAAAGAGCTATCAGAGCTATCTGAGACAGTTTCCCCATTGTACTAGAGTTTACTTTTTGGTGCCCTTTTACATGCCCTATAGCAATTTCCTCAGGTAATAACAAGTTTTCCAAAACCTGTCTAATCAATGCTTCATGGGAAAGTTCCTTCCTTCTATTGTATTGATTAAATCTAAACAATTAGGTTCCACGTTCACTGTATCTTCAGTTCCGTTCAAAAAGAAGGAGGCAGGATTCAGAATAGTCAGTGACTATAGCTCTTTCTATTAATATGGCTTCATATTTCAGTATCCTGGAGTCTGTTAGCTGCCTTTCTGCCTTCTGATTAAAGCATATTCTTTACTTGGTGAGGGTCAGTTGTCCTCCAAAGGCGAATTTCCTGCTTTCTTCCACCGATAAGGCAGTTGTTGCCAGTACCTGAAAAAATTCTGGCAATCCACAGGATACAGAATCTAGTAATTTAGACAGGTATGCTATAAGTTTTCTTTTGTCTTCCCATTTTTGGGTTAAGACTCCTAAAGCAGCACCCTCACTTACGGGTATAGAGATGAAATGGTTTATCCAGGGCAAGAAGAACCAAACTGATGTGTCACCAAATCTTGTTTCAGTTTTTCCACCATTTCTTTTGCTTCTTCTGTCTAATTTAATGCATTGGGTTCTTCCAATAGTTTGAGATGAGATTTCTTTGTTTTTTAGGCATGTTTTTATCCCCAGTCTACAATACCCAGTTAAACTTAGGAATTTTCTTAATTTCTTGATTGTTCTGGGAAGATGAAGTCACACAGTTCCCTGAATCCTTTCGGAGTTTATTCTCTACTTGCAAGTTTTCCTTCAGGTGAAAGAGATAGGTCTTCCTAATTTTGAGATAGGTATGCTATACAAGTGGCACTCTTAAATTTGCAAGTATCTTGTTTTTAAAAAAGAAGATGATTTAACCACTATTGAAAAGAAATTAATTCTTAGTATGTAGTAGCCAGGTAGTTCATTTGACTGTTATAAAAGTTTTCCATGTCAGTTTGAAGAGGCTGGGTTTTACACTTCTTTCTTCCTGTCAGGTCCAGTGTTGATGCTGAAATGATGTATTTTGAGGTTTGAGTGTGAAAATATTGACTCATCTATGCAGTTTATGCAGTTGTTCTGCTAATCTAATGTTCATAATATCATGAACATTAGATACTTTGATGCTTGACTTAGGGTTGCGTGACCCTGTTTTAAAAGGTGTGAAGCACACAGAACTCTACTCCATATAAAGAGTGTTCAGTGTGCCTGAAAATTAGACCTGGCCCATCCTTGACGTACTGAAGATGCTTCAAAATCTTTGCCTATTTTCAAAATGAACAATGCAAGCACTTTTAATCTGTTGTGTTGAATCATTCAAAAATGCAGATCTTTATAACATAGTGCAGTTGTATTTTTTTTAAAGTTATTTAATTTTCTAATGTGCATTTCTGTGTGATCCAACAGGTTTTAGCTGATGCTGTTGCACGCTTGGTTGTAGATAAATTCAGTGATTTGACAGAAAATTTCACATCTCCACATGCACGTAGAAAAGTCCTTGCTGGAATTGTCATGACAACAGGTAAAGAAAAAAGTACTGTTTTAACTGTCTAACCACCAAAGCTTTGTTTGTATTGTAAGAAACTATGGGGTTTTTTTTTTCAGTCAACCAGTATTGAAGTATATGTTTACTGTTTAATCCAGAATGTGCACTAAATATAGCAATTAAATATTGGCTAAGGATGATTAGTCTGTTTCCTGAGTTGCTGTCTTCTGTGTAGTTGAGACTACTGAGGTAACTCACAGTCTACAAAATAGATCTTTTTAAAGTACTTTTTAGAATGAAGTATGGAACTTTTTGAAAATAAGTCTAAAATACATTTCATCACATTGTTCACACAGATGGCATTCTTGTTTTTGGCATATTATGTAAGATACTATGCTTGCTTTCCAAGTCTTCAAAATTTTGCATGTTGTTTAGTTAGTTGTGCTGTATTTCATTCTCAGTGCTTTGTGTCTCAGTTGTTTTAATAAAAAAGAAAGCACCTTGTGTTTCAGCAGCTGCTTCTAGTGTGCATGTGCAAACAGCAATATTGTCACGGGTCTCTGGTTGCTGTCCTGAGATATGTGTTCTGCCAGAACACTGAGAACAGTGAATCTTCATCCTAAACTGAATTCTGTCCCTGAATTTTCCTTAGGTTAAGGTTTATCTTTTTCTTCAGTCCAGCTGATCCTTTGCAATGGGCACTTCATTTTGTGCCTGTCATGAGGTGCCTCCACTTAGCTGTACAAATCAGACCAAGGTCGGGGATAAACATGCAGCCACATTTCTTTTGGATGGCCTTTATGCAGCTATGTGCTGTGAACTTTATTCTTGTTCTTTTGGGTTGAATGTTAGCTTCTGTTTTCTTGGGTAGCGCCAGCCCTTTCCTACTGTGGGGATATTTGTAGGGGCCTTCCAATTTCATTTCTGAAGTCACGGGGTGTTAGTTAAGGTGGAAAGTAATGCATACTTTAGAACAAGAGTGTGACCTGGAGACCTTTGGCCCAAGCCATGTTGCCAGAATATCTCTGGCTGGGTTGACCCTGTCCAGCAGCCAAACACCCATCCGGCTTCTTACTCAGTGCCCACTTTCAGGGAGTGGAGAGAAGATGGAAGGAAGGTGAGAAGTCTTGAGGACTGAGATAATGATAGTTTATTAGGGAAGCAAAAGCTGCTTGTAGAAGCAAAGCAAGGAAACCACAAGATCACAGAATAATTCTGCAACATTGACTGTTGTAGAAGTCTGACAGGTATGACGGAAGTAAACATTATAGCGTTGACCATTTCTGACCAACTGCACCACTCAGCTCACAGATGAAAGCAAGCTGAGTGATACAGTTGACGCGCTAGAGGGAAGGGATGCTATCTAGAGGGAAGGGATACTATCTAGACGGACCTGGACAGGCTTGAGGGGTGGGTCTGTGCCAACCTCATGCAGTTCAAGGCCAAGTGCAAGGTCTTGCATCTGGATTGGGGCAATCCCAAGCACAAATACAGACTGGGTGGAGAGTGGCTTGAGCGCAGCCTTGAGGAGAAGGATCTGGCAGTTGTCCATTGATGAAAACCGCAACAGGAGCCAGCAATGTGCACTCGCAGCCCAGAAGGCCAGCCGTATGCTAGGTTGCATCAAGAGAAGCATGACCAGCAGATTGAAGGAGGTGATTTTGCCCCTCTGCTCTGTTCTTGTGAGACCTCACCTGGAGTATCACATCCAGTTCTGGAGCCCACAATACAAGAAGGACATGGAGCTGTTGGAGCAGGTCCAGAGGAGGGCCACGATGATGATCAGAGGGCTGGAGCTCTAACTTCAGAGGGCTGAAGCCTAACTTCTCTGACATCCCTAGTTTTCATGAAGTATCATATGAACCATAAAAGCGCTTTTAATACAGGTCCTTAAATGTAAGCCTGTAAAAAATTCTGCTGTCTTCTGGAAGATTTAAAAGAAGCCCTGAGTGTGAATGTCTTCCATCACTGACTTTGTACTTCAGGTAAATTCCACGTGTGTATGGAGTTAGACACCAAAATATTTCCTGGAGCCCATCTGATGAGAAACTGCTAGAGAGGAAAAGAATCTGGGGAGACCTTATAGCAGCCTTTCAGTCCTTAAAAGGAGGCCTACGGGAAAACTGGGGAGAATTCTTTATCAGGGAGTGTAATGATAAGACATGAGATAACAGTTTTAATCGATAAAAATGAGGTTTAGATTGGATATAAGGAAGAAATTCTTCACAATGAAGTTGGTGAGGCACTGGAACAGTCTACATGGAAGTTATGGGTGCCCCATCCCTGGCAGTACTCAAGGCCGGACTGGATGGGGCTTTGGGCAACCTGGGCTGGGTGATGCCCCACGGATAGGGGTCCCATGGGCAGGGGTTGGGACTGGGTGAACTTTAAGGTCCATTCCAAGCCAAGTCATTCTGTGATTCTGTGGTTCTGTGATTCATAACAATGACCAATCTGTGAAGAACATGCTGTAGAACTGTATTTCTTTTTTCTTTTTTTTCTAATTTCACCATATTTAGCAAGGTTTTATTGCATCTGTGTCCAACATTATCAGAAAAGACATTTGCCCAAAGAATCCAGATGTTAGTTAACATGCAAATGCATTTTGATTAACTCAAGAACTAGCTTTACATGGATTTAGAAATGGGTTTCTCATAAGTAAGTTCAGTATCTAGAGGGTGCCTGGACTCCCTTGCACAGCTGTTCTGTGTTGTAGCAGTGAAGTAGTTCCCAATTCTCCACCTGCAGGAGATGGGGCAGCTGGCCTCATCCATTTTTGTCAAGGCTGTACTTCAATGAATATTTATTTCATAAGCAGTGAGAGCTGGTAGGACTGTCCTCTTTATGGTGTAATTTGCTTTATTTTGATGGATGGATGTAAGGCTCTGATCTATCTTTCTGAATTCTGAATGGAGCTGACCTTTTTTTTTAATTTAATGACAAAGGTACTTTTTTGTATAGAAAACACAAAAAATATTTTTAAATTCTGTTGTGCCGAATTATTTAACACCAAGGAATACATCTCAAGAAGTTCTGTACTGCTGATAAGTTCTGCAGTGGCTTAAGCACTCAAACTTCCTTCGTTCTTAGTTTTACCTTTCATGTTTCAATTTCTAACTTATCTGAACTCCAAAATGAAGAACTCTCAAGAACCATAGGCCATACTGGATAAGTCTGTATAAACCTTTTGCTTTTAAGAAAGAATAAGAAAGAATCATAAGAAAAATTTTCTTTGAAAGAGGAACAGAGTAAAAAAGAGCCTTGTTTGAATTCTACAGGAAATTCTCTTGCTAGATTGTTTGTGATTTTAATTGTATCTTCTAAAATTTTGTTTTTCCAGGTGCGGATGTGAAAGATGCTCTGGTAATAAGTGTTTCTACAGGAACAAAATGCATTAATGGTGAATACATGAGCGATCGTGGTCTTGCATTAAACGATTGCCATGCAGAAATTGTATCCCGACGGTGCCTGCTTAAATTTCTGTATACGCAACTTGAGCTTTATCTAAGGTAAGCTTATGGGAAGATAAGCTGGCCCCATTCAGTTGAAAAGCTGTTAAAAATGTATCTTTTAATAATTTCAGTGTGAAACACTTGTTCTAAAGTGGCTTGCTGAAACAAACTGATGTGCAAAGTACCACTTGTTGCATTAGGATGTTTAACTGAGAACTCATGATCTCTACCCTAAAGTTTGACATGAACAGAGCCTGTATTTGTTTCATTGTCAATCCTGAGAAGGAAAACATGTAAATCAAAGTCATCTCAAGTGGTCTAATGCATGATGTTGTTTTGTTTTCTGAGAAGTCTCCAAAGCCCATTGTGATGGACGTAAAGGGCTCTATATATCTTCTCCATTCACTTTTCATTCTGTAATAACTTGTTAGAGTTATACTGCAAAATTTCCAGACATCTTGTGTTTGTTTTTAATGCCTGTTAGGACCAAGCAGCTTATGTTATTTATGTATTAATTTTCTTTTTGACTTTAGCTTTATTCTCTGTTTCAGCAATAAAGATGATCAGGAAAAATCCATTTTTATCAAATCAGAGCGAGGCGGTTTTAAACTGAAGGAGAATGTGCAGTTCCATCTTTATATCAGCACATCTCCTTGTGGAGATGCTAGAATTTTCTCACCACATGAAGCAGCACAAGAGGGTACGACAGCATAATATTCTAGTATTGGTGTTTAAAGTATTATTTGAGCATGTGGAAGTGACATGGTTGAAATTCAGGCATCTTCTTTTCTCTTAGTGCAGATGTGTATTAGTCAAAGATCTGAGCTGTTCTTACTGTATTGTGGAATTTAGATATAGACTGATCATCCACATGGTCCACATGTTGGCCTTCCAATATATGAAGGGAGCTTATAAACAGGAGGGGGAACGGATGTTTATGAGGGTGGACAGTGATAGGACAAGGGGGAATGGTTTTAAACTGAGATGGGAGGTTTAGGTTAGATATTAGGAGGAAGTTTTCCACACAGAGGGTGGTGAGTTACTGGAACAGGTTGCCTAAGGAGGTTGTGGATGCCTCATCCCTGCAGGCATTCAAGGCCAAGCTGGATGTGGCTCTGGGCACCTGGTCTGGTGGTTGGTGACCCTGCACATAGCAGGGGGTTGGAACTAGATGATCTTTGAAGTCCTTTTCAACCCAGGCCATTCTGTGATTCCATGATTCTGTGATTCTGTGGTCTTCAAGAGACTGATTGCCAGCAAGGATAAGGCAGTGATTCAGCAAGCATTCTTACAAAACGAATCTAGCCATCTCGGTTTCTATTTTTAATGGTTGTTCTCTGTCCTGGTTTGTTAATTGACTTCATTTTAATATTCAAATGCCCAAAACACTATTTAAGAATTGCCTGCTGACTGCGCTTCCTGATGGAAAGCTTGGCTTAACTGCAGTTTTAGAAGACATTATGCATGTGTTGCTGTAACTAAATTGTAAGGAATGATAGAAATTGTTATGCAGACTTTAATAGACTCTTCTCATTTAATGCTGTATGTAGAATACCTTGAGAATGTTTCTTGTTTGATTGTAAGTAACTTTTGTCATTTAGATCAAGGGGACAGACATCCAAACCGCAAAGCGAGAGGACAGCTACGAACAAAAATAGAATCTGGGGAAGGGACGATCCCTGTGCGCTCTACTACCACCATCCAAACATGGGATGGAGTATTGCAAGGAGAAAGGCTACTTACTATGTCATGCAGTGACAAGATAGCAAGGTGAGAGACTAAAGAACTGTTTTTTGTACTGTTGCCTTTTATTGCTGAATAAGACAGGAGGGTTGCATGGCAGCTATAATGAATGTGCAGGCTGTTGATTGCTTTCATTGCTTAGCCATAGCATGTCTGTAATTCCAGTGATAAAGTTCTGATTCCTCACCAGCAGTTGGTGTCAGACCTCCTGCTGGCTTCAGAAGTGAGATGAAAACATTATGTGTCATTTCAGGTACTTCAAGTCATGACAGCTTTGTTTTGTATTTCTATCACAGGAAAATATCAGAGGAATTCCTTTTCCCCCCTAGTCCCAACGTAGCATTAGCAAAAGAGTGTGATAAATGTATTACATTAGTTAAATTTGAATGAAATGTTCTGGTGGTGTACAGCCTTGTGTATCAATGGGACATATGTATTCCATGGACAGATTTAGATTTATACTATTGTAATAGAGAGAGTATATATATAACTATAAATATATATGAAGTATAAATAAAAAAACAAAATATATTTTATGTATACAGTATATATATATATACTTATGTATAAGTGTGTATATATGTGTCCAGTTAATTGATGGGCACTTTTAATTTCTAACTTTATAATTATTTAAACTTTAGTTTCAGTATTTTTACTGTAATTAAATATTTTGTTTCCAGTACAAGTACTTTTATTTATATTTTATCCAGTACCTTCTTTCTTATCATTTTTGAGAGGCAAATATTGAGAGATTGAAAGATTATTTTTTTTTAAATTGGGAATGGACAGGTGATAACCACCAAATTTAGAAGTAGCATCCTTAAAAAAAAGTGCCAGACATCTAGGAGAGCTGCTGGAAAATTGTAATTTTTTTAAAATGAGTCTGTGTGTGCAGACTCTTTTTTTTGTGTGTGAAATAGATAGGAAATACCAAGTTTTTTTGGCTGAATATATTTCAGTTGTTTTATAAGTAAAATAGCTGTGCTGTTTTGTCTAATCACAGTCTGATGCCAAATTTATTAAGTGTATTTTAACATAGAAAGATATATTTGAACTATAATTATGAATGGTGTACATCAAATTAAAAAACACAGGATGAATTTTAAGTAATTGCTTTTTTCCTCTAGTCTTGTCTCAAGTAATCATCATCCCCACCAAAGAAAGACATTTTACTTCAGTATAAAATCCCTCTAACATAAATGATTAAGACCTTTCAGAAGCTAGGGCAGTAGGTTGTTGAGAAGTAGTTCTACAAAAGTGACATTGAAATTTTTTTAATAATATTTTCAATAATTTGCAAGACAGGTTTCCCAGCTTCAATCAGTGGCTTCCTCTAACCATCCAATGTGGTACTCAAGCTACATTCGTTGACTTCTATTATTGCATCATCATTGCTGTTAGTGAAAATAAAAAATGAAGGCAGTTATTGAGCTAGAACACATTTGACTATTTTGTTGATTTTGTGTGATGCAGAACAGAATTCATCTCTCGCTTGCGTAGCTAGCTGTCACCTGTCCTTGGGGCTAATGGGAATAATTTTGTTTGTGCCAGTGAAGGAAGCAAATAGAACCCTTTGACACAGAACAAAGACTGTATGACGGGTAAGGAGGCCCAAATTTTCATATTCTTTTTTTTCTTCATTTTTTTCCTTTTTACATTTCCCTGACACTTATGACCATGTTTTGTCCATTTAAATTTGAAAGAATGCATTGCTTTGTAGTTTCCAGCAGTCAGTACTCCAGAACGCCCTTGCCCTGTGTGCTTCCACTGAGGTTTCCCAAAGGTTCACAGTGCCAGTCTGGAAAATGCATGGTTAAGTACTGTGTGGAGGATTACATGGGCAGTCCAGAGCAGGAAGACTCCTTCTGTATGAACAGATGTATCTGTGTGGATTGTGTGGATTATGTGCATAACCTAAGCTACTATTGTCAGCCTCTGAGTGCTTCTTTATCCTGCAAAGAAATGCTAAAAAATACAATTTCTCCAGTGACTGCTGCTCATTACAGTGATGGGCCAAGCCCACCATTAGTAATGGGTGAGATCTAATGCAAGAGTTAATGAGCATCCTGGGCTGACTGTACTTTGGCAGGTTTAGCCATTTCAAGCCAGGGCTTGTGTTGTGCCAGGGCTTGAGGTAGTGCATGTGAAACAGCTCTTGAATCTGCTGCTTTGCTCCAGCTAGCTCAGCTCACCTCATTCTTCCTTAGCTGGGGGCATCCCTTTCTCTCCCTAAGTAACCTCCTGGGAAAGCACTTTGTACTTGTGGTGGGAGAGGCAGGAAAAAAGATAAAAAGTCAAGAGATTGATAGCTGTGCTTTAGGTAGAAAGGAAATGAGGGGTGCTGTACCCTTAATGATTTTGCCAGATAAAAAGCTGTGGAAAACAGCAACAGGCTTGTGTAGGTAAAAGAATATACTCTCATCTGGCTCAGGAGCATCTGAAGAGGATTATCCCAGTGTCTTGGTGACATTTCAGAGCAACTTTATTCTATGACAAGAGCACCTGTTTGGTGGCATTATATGTATGCATTTGTCTTAAAAAAAGATCCTAAGCTTGTTCCATAGTACTTCATTATGTATATTTTTGTCCTTTTTGATATGTTTTTTTGTGTACATTCATTTGAAGCTTTTTGGCTTCAAATAAATAGTTAATTTCTCACCAAACATTAAGACAGCAAACCAAATCATGGTTTGCTGTCTTAATAAGAAGACTTAATTTGTTTTTTTTTTTAACCCTATTTCCTTGCTAGGAAGGCTCTGGGATTTGAGAAGTGATTTAATTGAGAAGTGGTTCAGTTGTGTAAAGGGGAAGTCATTGGTGCTCTTCTACCATGGAAGAAGGAAAAATATTACTTCATTGCTGTGCAAGAACATCACGTACCTGCGTACTGACTTTGTTTTCTGTTGTTTACAGTGTCACATCCAAATGGAAGTTTGTAACTCTGTCTTTCTGTTTATTCCTTTGATGGCTTCTCGGTCATGACCCCACCACCTAGGTGGAGACTAATGAGTTGGCACAAAACAAACTTGAAAATTCTCTGTGTGCTCACTAAAGGCTGTATGTTCAGCAGCTGCCTATGCAGCTTTTTTTGAGTTTCAGAGTTATTCTGAATGGAAAGCTCCATGGTAGAGCTGGTGCACTTTCTGAACAGCACTAGGAAGAAAATTTCTTCTGAGCAGGTCTTAGTCCACGTGGCTGATTTGAATGCCTTGCTTGTGATATGTAATGGCTGTGCAACACCTAGATTAAAAACCTCAGAGAAAGAGGTAGGAAACCACCACCCAGTATGTATCATCACGTTACCATGCGAACCAGTGACACATGCTTAGCAATGTGCCACAGATCCAGACAACACCAGAAACGCTGGGACAAATCAGAGCTGTCTGTGAACAGCCTAGATGTTCAGCTGCAAGTGAAGATAAATCTTACTGCCTGTAGTTGAAAATCTGACCTTGGAATGAGTAGAAAGATGCTTTTGAGAAGAGCTTCTGCCAAAGACTGTGGACTTGTGCTTATTGATGTAAATTGTGGTGACTACACCAGCTGAAGAAAAAGACTGTACATGAAGATGTTGCTGCCTGTTGATACCGTGGCTCAAGAAAGGAAGACTGATCATAGAGACTGAGTTAATCTCTTCAGAAAGCAAAGAGAAATCAGGTTTACACATGAGAGAAAGGAGAGAGAGGAGAGAGGGGTTAGGTGAATTAAATCAGCTCTGCCTGTTCCATCTGCAGGGAACAGCATGTAAGTGGTGAATATACAAGGGCTGCTCCACAAGTGATGCCTCCTATTTTATGATGTTGGCCCATGGTGTCAGAGGCGGATGGTGGTGGTAGAGGTTGAATCAATATTCCATTACATTTTGATGCTGTATGACAGATGGCAGCAGAGGGGCATCTGACATGAAAGTGTATATGGAGCAAAGGTGTGCTATTCTTCCTTGAGGAAAAAATTGCACCCACTGACATTCATTAATGCTTGCTGAACGTTTATGAAGACGAACAGTGGATGTGAGCACAGTGAGGCAGTGGGTAGTGCATTTCAGCAGTGGCAATAGGGGGCCACTTCTGTTGCAGGTTCTGACACACGTGGCGTGCAAGCTATTGTTCATGGCTGGTGCAAGTGCATGGCTAATGATAGTGATTATGCTGAAAAATAGTGTTTTGTAGCTGAGAATGTACTCTATCAAATAGTGTTATTGTGCTCTTTGTATCTGTTCTAGTTTCTGTGAAAATTATACCTGTAAATAAATTTGAGGCTATTAGCAATTAATTTAAACTCCTCAGCAGAACTGTTGTCTTGGGAAAGTTTTGTTCCTGGAGAAGGAAGACATCTGGAGCCTAAAAAGCAAAGATGCCACGTTCTAGCAGCTTTGAGTAGGAGGTAAACTGCACCCTGCTAGGGTTGATAATAGGTGCCATAACAAGATCACAGTGCCAACTAAAAACTTAGTCAACAGCCATATACACTGGTATGGCAAAAGAGGGCGATGTCTGTGCCTTCGAATGGGATACAGGTGCTACAGAGCAATAGCAAGTAATAAAGAAGGAAAATTGCTTTCTAAAAGCAAGCTGTCTCTAAGCTGAGTTTGGGTTTGTGCTTTCCGTGGCATATTTTCTAATGGCAAAACAGTTCTAGGAGCCTACCACTACCCATGCTCAGCTGCTGAACCTCTCTTGCACACTGCCTCTCTCTGTGCTGTCTTTTTATGGAGCTGTGCTGTAAACTAAAGAAAGATTTCACAGTACAAGGCCAGGGATGTTTCAGTGCTGTGACACAGCACAGCTTTGGCAAGCCACAATGCAGGGATAGGACCTGATAGTGCTTTTATGTTCTGACCTTTTGAGAGTCAAGCTGCTCCCCTTTCCTCCCCCCTTTTCAGATTTTTTTTCTTTTTTAAACTTGAGTCATATCACTGCTCTGACTTTACAGGGAGCCTTACAATCACTTTCATAAGAAGACTGAGGAGAATTAAGGTTGTAATATGCAGAGTCCTCTTCAATCAGGCTTAGTGCTGGTAAAACTAT